TTATAAATATATTAAGAAATCTAATAGAAGAAAGGTTTTTGGATATGATAGATCTACAATATAGATAACTTAAAGAATTTAAAAAGATTGTTTAGGAGGTTGCTTGTAGATTTTAATAAAAAAGTTCGGGAGGGGGTAGGTTTTTATTTCCTTTTTCCATTTGCCTTATTCAATTAGAACCATATACAGGCGTATCGCATGGTTTTAGTATAGCTATATAGACCGAATTGATTATGAATTTACTATTACTACTACTACAAATGAATCCTGAAACTCGAATTATATAGAATAAGCTATAACTTTATTATCTATATCAAAATTAGAATTTTCAATAAATCCTTTATATTCAATAAGAAATTATTTAAAGCTTTATTAAAATTATTACCTTTGAACTTTTCCTTATATTTATATTAGAATTCCTTATATTCCTTTTTACTATATTAAGTTAGTTAATAATCTTTTATCTTATAAATAAAGTATTTCTCTTTTATATATAATTTGAATAAATATTAATTATTTTATTCAGAATTTCTATTTTGATTATATTCATTTCGATTATAATAATATTATAGTTTTGTTAAGGTAAATTTATTCTCATATTATAATAATTAAATATAACTTCTTTAAAAGATTTGAAATATTTTTAATAAAACGAAAGCAAATTAAAGAATATATTTATACTAAAGTATATATAATAACAATCTTTTAATAGAGTAATCTTTCTGTTTTTATGGTAAAGCTAAATCCTTTATATAAATAATAAAGTTTTGTAATTATAAATTATTAGTATTAAAGTATTGTTTTCCCTTTATTATTTAATTCTATTATTATATTCTTAAATATAATACTCTTTTATTATTATATAAGATTATACTTAATTCTAAGCCTTTAAATATAAATTTCATTAAATCATAAATCTTAATTATTATATCAAATAAATTGTTTAGATTTATATAATAAAAGTTGAATATAATATTGATAAGTATAATAAAAAATGCCTTTTTTAATAATAATATAGGTAAATTATTATGTTTTAAATTATTAAAAAAGATCAAGAATTTATACGTAAAATTATTATTTTGATTATTGTATTTATTAATTTCATTGTAAAGTTTTGTAAGATTATTTAAAAACTAATTGATATTTATAGGTCTTTATAATTGAAAAGATAAAATTTCTTGAATAACTTTATTACCTTTTAAAATTTTTTCTTCTTTATTTTTATAATATTTATTAGAATTCCCTTATAAAATATCATATTCTTTATTTTTGTTATTATAAATATTATTTTTTATTTTTTATTTTTTATTTTTATTGCTTTATTTTATTTATTTATTATTATTGTTATTGAGTAAATCATTAATTGATTATTTAGTTTGTTATTATAAGATTATATTGTTATTAAATTAATAGAATATTTTTATTTTTATTAAAGTTGATCTTGATTATTATTAATCAAGATTTTAAAGATTAGATTAGAAACATAATTATAATGATATTAGAATAGTATTGATATTGAATAGATCGAATAAATATTAGTTTTATTAAATTATAATATTGTTTTACAAATAATAAGTTAATTATAATTACTTATTAAGAATAATTAATAATATAATCTTAAATTATTAATATTTATTATTATAATAATAATTCTGATAAAAAAGAACATTTGGTTTGTTCTTCTTGATATCTTTATTTTTATTATTATATTAATATAGATTAATATTTAATAATTCAATTGAATTTCCTACTTTAATTATTTTGAGAATAATTAATAACGTTTTCAATCCTTTCATAATTCTTTCAAATATACTTAATAATTGAAACTTAAAATCTTTTTTTTAAAACATTTCTAATCTTAAGATTCAATTATTATTAAAACACTATATATTATATATCGATTAATAACTTATCGATTATTCACTTTAAGTAAATAATATGCTTTGTAATAAATAATTCATATATATAAAGTTCGTATTCAAGCTTATATAATAGTTATATTCTAGCGAATAGAAAATGCTTTGATTTAAAGTTTTTAAAATTTATAATATAATTTAATTATAACTCCTTATTATAAAAGTCGTTGTATTCATATTTATATAATTTGAATTTATAAAAATCTTATGTTTTCTTTTTATTTATATTATCAATATTAAAAGAGTAACAATATACAAATGGGAAAACGAAATACAGGAATTTGCTTTCTTAAGAACGAAAAAGTGCTATTAGAGAATTCTTTATAATAGAAAAAAGCGGAAAATTTAACAGATTCTGATTGAAATTGATATTCAAACGAGCTCTAATGTCAGGTGTATTCAATCTAAAGAACTTGCTACTTTAGAGTGAATAGTAGGCCTCTTATAGGCTGCTATTAAGACTAGCTCCTTTGATGTAGGCTATAAATGGCTTAGGGCCATTCATTTAACCCTTGTGTACACACATATGAAACCCGACGATCTTATATTTACGTGCTTAATCCATCACTTCAGCCAGTAAATGACTTAGAATTGCCTGATACTTAATACGAGCACTCTAGATGCGAGGCTACCTACTTTTGGTATCTTCGAAGCTATTAGATTTGTTTGTTACACCGAACTAGACATTTTAGTAGAGTGGTTGTATAGAATCGGCAACCCACCTTGACTGTCTAAAATCTGCACCCCTCATGCTTCTAGTGAATCACAACAAATAAATAACATCACACTCACCTCGCTTCTTAAGCGAACATTTTACAGCCGTGATTGAGCATTTGCTGATTGATGATGTCATTCGAAATCTCGAGCTGACTACATTGGACTGCAGTGTCCACACTCTAAGCCTATGGCATTTCTTCGAGAGAAATCTTTGGAATAGTCAAGAACAAGCATATTTGGTTTCTTCAAGAACGCGTCTGCTGGCAAAAGAGCGGAGCATTCATCTTTCCATCCCTTCAAGTGGAGGACAGGTTCGGTGCTTAGAGTCAGAAGCACTTGGTCATTGTCCTAAATTAAGCATACTACTGTTAAATTACCCTTGAAATGTTGCATACACGTGGACAAAAAGCTTACAGATTTCAGGTACAGTAATTCTGATTAAAAATCTCGGAAATCTTACAATCATACCGAATTTATCTTAAAAGCGAGTCATCCTTATCACAGGTTGCTTTGATTGCGTTGAAAGGTGTAAGATTGAAGAGGGAGCTATTATCGAATAATGACTGGTGTCATACGACTCATAAGAAGTAATATGAGAATAGCCTCAAAAGATTAACAATCAGATAAAAGAACTATGTTAAGGAAGAAATGGCTTCCTAATGAATTAACCTCTATAGAGGTTGATCACGTGACCAACTGATGTCATTAGGGTCCAGGCAAGACAGCTGACAGTTTAATAGTACTATCGAGGCCGATTTAAACGATTTAGACAAAACCTCAAAAACAAATTTTTGTTTATTACGAAAAACGATTCTATGATTTATATAATGTGTAGATAGAAATTTAAAAAAAAGATTTATATTATATAGAAATCTATTTTTTAGAATACTTATTATAAAATAAATTATTTTATTAGATAAAGCTTCTAATTAACTTTATTTAATTTATTTTAAAAGTCATTTTAGAATTTTTTTAAGAAGTGTATTAATGTTAAAGATTTTTATACATAACTTTTTCGAATGATTTTTTTTATTGTGTATAGGTTATTATATAATGAGTAAGACAATCTTAATAGAGATTTTTCAATATAAATAGAAATGTATATCTAGATATTAGATTAAATTAAATAATTCTAGTTCGAGTTTAGTTTGTTTAATTAATATTTAAAATTAAAAAAAATCGTTCAATTTTTAAATTGAATATTAGTTTTATATAAAAGCATACTACTAAATTCTAAATACATTTTTAGCTCAGGTAAAAATCTATTTGTAGGGTTTTATTCAAATCGTTCAAATCGGCCTTAATAAGTGCGGAGGGTTTAATTCCCGGATACACTCTGGAACTGCTGTTGGATTCGATTACCAACAAGATGGGCACCCGATTAAGATTCTCAGTCAGTCTATCTTTGGTAAGGTTGCATCGAGAGAATGAAACTATGGCCCTTCCTTCGCATCATCAGATGAAGCAACTCGACTTTGAACACTTCCCGTTCCAAGATGCATGATCGATGCTTTGAACTAGCCTATTCTTGATTAGCTCGATTAAGGTTAGGTCAGCCTCCCGCCGCACCGTCGGTACAAAGCAATTCGGCTTTGAGGATTTTCAATCGAAGTTGTGCAAACATATATGGAAAGATTTTGTAAAGTGATATTAAACTTGTCATTATATCTCGGGACCTCAAGCTTCCGTAATACTTTATGTGTTGCGCATTGCGCCATCTCCAGCAGTCCGCCGCTTCCCCAAATCGCGGAACCAGTCGATGAAATATGCATAATATCTGCCCAGCATGCGGACTGGTCGAAATGACGGCAAACTTGTTGATTAAAGTTCCAGCTATCCCGAGTTGCGCTGACTTTGAATAAGTCAAACATGATCACTAGTCGTGCGTTGTTGGGCTATAAAAGGCCGGCTCCCATTCTCGAACGTCGGTAGCTGAAATACCTTATATCGCACATCTTTTTTTCAATCAAAAGATTTCAATCACCCACTATCATTTATAACAAAATGGCCTATAGTCTCAAAAGCTGGGAAGCTATCGGGCATTCCAAACGCGATACTCTGTTGTCGCTTATCCCGGAAGAATGGCGAATTCCACTCCCACTTCCACCTCCCGAAATATTACCTGACGTGACAGGCCATATACGCCAGTACCTCTCTTCGAAGGAAATGGAAATCACAGAGACAGACGCTGTCGATATCGTTAGAAAAACTTCTAGCTGAGACTGGACATGCCGTGCAGTTACCGAAGCGTTCTGTCATAGAGCAACGTTGGCTCATCAGATGGTAGATAAACCCCCACACCCTCCTCCAGTGAAATGAAGATTGATGGAGTCTATATGTAAATAGATCAACTGTCTCCATGAAATCATGTTTGAATCTGCCCTCCAACGTGCCTCAGAACTCGATGCCTATTTCGCGGAACACAAAGAGCCAATAGGTCCATTACACGGTCTTCCAGTCAGTCTTAAAGACTCAATCCACATGAAAGGCGTAGATACAAGCTTGGGCTATGTCGGCTGACTGGGAAAGCCCAAAAAAGAAAAAGAAAAAGAAAAAGAAAGTCAAGTTGTCACTGATCTTCGCTCTCTTGGTACAGTTATCTACGTGAAGACCAGTGTTCCTCAGGGGTCTATGTCCGCAGAGACACGTAACAATATCATCGGTTATACACCTAATCCTCGTAATCGTCAACTCACTGTTGGGGGAAGTTCGGGTGGCGAAGGCGGCCTTTTAGCTCTGCGAGGAAGCTCTGTCGGACTTGGAACCGGCATCGGCGCCTCGACTCGTGTCCCAGCAGGTTAGAATGGCTGCGACGGACTCCGCCCATCAACTGGCAGATTGCCGTATGAGGGGGTCGCCTCGACGATAGACGGGATCATGCTTCCGTTTGTGGTTGGGCCAACGGCGACACAGGCAAGTGGACTGGAATTGATGATGAGGAGCTTGTTGCAAACTGAGCCATGGAGGAGGGATCCCATGGTCATTGAACTTCCTTGGAAAGAGGATAAACTTATCAAAATGCATGAAGAAATAAGTGTCAAGGACAAAATGGCATTTGGAATCATGATCGGCGATGGGTATGTGAATCCACAACCACCTGTAGAGAGAGCAATGAGAATGGTTACAGATGCGATCAAGGCGCTAGGCCATAAGATATATCTTCACTTCCAGATGCAAAAGATTCTTGCTAAAACTGCCAGGTCATCGAATGGAAGCCGCCGAGCCACACCGCTGGTAACGATCCATATGTTCGTGATCCCTGCCTTAAAGTAGAATATGATTAACCATCATTTAGTTTAAAATTTGCTTTGCCGACGGTGGTAAGGCTCATCACTCAGCACTTGCGATATCTGGAGAGCCTCCAACCGAACCTATCTTAGGAACTTGTCCCTTCTTAGCCTAGGCATACTCAGAGGAATGGGGCGTAGTGAAGAGTAGTAAAGAACTACAAAGAAGGAAAAGGAGGGTAAAGCATAGAGAGGGGGATATTAGAAGAGGGTGTGCCAGTAAAGAGAAAGAAAAGGGAGCAGTATTCCCGGTAGGTAGCCTGCTTCAAGACTTCGATCCAATGCAATACATCCCGATTCAATGCTCTATCCACTTGATTTCTTAAGCAAACAATACCCTATCGATAATTAAATACACTTTTTGCGATTTATCTTCATAGATTCTGTCTTTTTGCTTCAATGATTCAATTGAACTCCTCAATTTGATGTTCGCGCACTGACCATCTGTATTTGTCTAAGCAAATGTCCCTCTTGTACATTATTCGTGGTTGACGTATTTGTAACGTGTTAAAAAATGTCTAATGACGGTATTCTCGTGCTACGCTTCAAGATCAGCAAAGAATGTTTGAGCTCCGGCGGATTCGGCGGAAGGATCTTGACTAGCACCATGGAAGAGACATTGTCAGCACATAAACATCCTGTCCATACCTCCATAGCTTCCATACCAAACCAACCACGAGCATTCCTCTCTTCAAGATCAAACCATCAACGAAATCACACACCTTCGCTTCGTCTACAAACACAATCTTAAACACGATGGCTCCTACAATTTTGATTGTCGGTGCAACAGGAAATACTGGTCGAAGTGTTGTGGAGACACTTTCTGTGAGATTCTATAATAAGTATACTAAATTACTTATTAATATCTTATTAATTAAGCTATATATATATTAATAATATAAGTATAATATGATTTTATATTATAAAATTATATTATTATATTATAATATAGCTATATTTCTTATCAAATTGATTTATAATAAAATAAAATAAAATGAAATTATATAAAAGATTGTTAATAAATTAACTAAATTAATTAATTGTATTTTTCTTTTATAATATAAAATAATTTTATAAGATTCGATTTAAATCGATTTTATTTATAAGTATAGAAATTACTAAAATTTCATTATAAATTATATAAACCTAGGATATTCTTTAAAGAAAACCTAGGAAAAAGCAAGCAAATTCAGCTCAATTAAGCTCTCTCTTATAATTTGTCTTCAATTCAACTCTTATATTATATTCGATTCGTCCTTCAAGCTAGAGTGACTAAGTCTTCTACTATTACTAGAATATCATTATTATTATTATATTCTGGAAAATTACCTCCAACACTTTCAGACTCAATCAACAACAACAATACACTAGCAGGGCATCGAATCATTGCCCTAACACGATCTTCGGACAGCCCTACTGCACAGAGACTTGGCAAACTTCCAAACGTCACGATTGAGGAGAAAACTTGGGTTGATATCAGTCCCAAGTGGTTGAAGGAACGTAATGTTGTCAAGGTTTTTGTATGAGCCCCTAGCACGTTTTAAACACTTCTACTATATCAAAAATATGCTAATCCCACTTTTAGATTGCTTCCCATAATGACCCCTCTCATTTTGCAGATGAATCAACATTCCATGTTGCTTTACTTAATGCTGGCGTCAAGTACGTTGTACGCATCTCCACCACAGCTGTCAATGTCCATCCCAACTTCCCAGTATACTATCCGCGCCAGCATTGGGCTGTCGAAGCTTTATTGAGCTCTCCTGAGTTTGAAAAGCTTCAATGGACCTCACTCCAGCCAAATGTCTTCCACAGTTTCGCTCTTCGACCTGCCGTAGATTTCATCAAGCAATATCGCAAAGATGGCAAGCAAAACACACTCCTGTTGATGCCTGATGGTGATGCACCTCTTGGATGTATTGAGGCTAACGATGTTGGTCGATTTGCCGCTGTTCTTCTGGCCCAGGGAGATCACTCCATTCACAACAAGAAGAAATACGAACTTAACGGACCAGTTGATATCAATGGAAAACAGATTGTCAAGCTGGTGGAGCAATACATTGGAGCAGAAGTCAAGGATGTCAAATTTAGAGACATGACTTTCATTGACACTTGGGCTGATTCGGTCGAGGATTACAAGACTCTCATTCGATCCATCAAGGGTGCTGCTAGTACAGGCTGGCAAGGGAAGTGCTCGACTGCAACGACGAGTAAGGAGTTCCTGGAGCTATCTCCACCAAAGACCACTCCTGCAATGTGGTTGGAATCTGCGCTTGAAGAATAAACAAACGATAGATAGCTCGGTTCTATTAAGACGATCATCATTGCGAATTCTCCTGTGGGACTTTAAACCTGATTCTAGATGTGTGAAGTAGAATCCAGCTATATAACAACTTCTTCTCAAGCTTTATTATAACAAGTGTTGGTTGGAGGGGAATGCCATTCTTGACATGTTACAGTCCATAAGGTTGTCGTATCCCATCACAAATTCGGAAGATTTCAAAATTATTGTAACAATTAAAAAGAAGAAAAAAGGGAATTCTATGAATTCTCGGCCTGAAAGTTGGTTTTCCCCAACGGCTAGATAAGCTCTATGTAAGCGAAAACAAACAGCCGGTAATTGACCTTTGAAGTCTGTCTCAGTTTCACCTATTTAATATATTATTAATTTAAGTCAAAATAAAACAAAACAAAACAAAAACTAAAATGCGATAAGACAAAACCAAACTTGAAGTCTTTCTTACATTCAGAATTGGTATCCTTATCTAATATCTTATTGAATAGAGATCTGAATTGTTAAAATTCTTTCAATTGGTGATCTATTCCCGCCCGTTATTTAGCTGGTGTAGAGATGTAGAGACAGGCAATTAAGGCAACAGTATATAGCTCATCATGCCTCACCCTACCAACCCCCCACCTCTCTCTGGTGGTGGGGCTGACGGGGCCAAAGTGACCTTAAATACCACGTTTTGCTAATCATCCGACTCACTGTCCGGGGCTCTATCATGACTAATAAAGCTAAGCCTAGGCATTAAGCTCAAGGTAATTGGCCCTATCGTAACACTGCGCTTCCTTGGACACCTTGATGGGGAAGTAAGATTACCATTGATGGAAGATTTGCTTCGAACGAATGGTACCACATTAATGTCATTGAGTGATCTCTCTTGCGCTATCAGTCCACGGATTCCTGTGGTGGTCGTAGCGAGCTCCGTCGTAACTTGTCAGGAGATTGTTGGCGGTGAGAACCGTTTGAAGATGAAGCAGACAATGATTAATAAGTGGTCGGATGTTGAAGTAACAATCACATGATATTTGATGTCGTTGCAAATCTATTGTCAGGATGATCTGGGCGGCTCGAAAGAGCAGACGTCTAAATGAAGTGAAGAATCGAGGAGACTTCCTATGTTCACCCGACAGGGATTCGTTCTATCTTGAGGGTATTCTCAGTCGCGATGCTGAGGCTGAGTCTCTTATCGTGAAATCCCGGCATGACAATCCCCGCTGGGAACAATTTCCGGGGCGACGGTCCACTTTGTGTTACCTCCAGCTACCCTTTCTGGTCCAACATTCCGCATATGAGGCTGATAAAATGAAGTTTAGGGGTCACAGTTTAAGCATCAAATTGAAAGATTGAACGTTGAACGTTTGACCGCATTACCGGTACTGGTACTTGTCAGGATTTCTCATACCACAGACAAATAACACGCAAGTCCAGTACGCATATCTACTTTCCAAGGGTATCTCGTATAATAAATTCACGCTTTGTTCCATTTACTCATTTAGAAGGCATAAAGATGTATCCTTTGCTAACCTCATCTATATACCGTACTATTTTGAAAAGTTCGAGGCAGGCTAGCAAGGACCCTTAATTTAAGTGATGAATAATCCATCAAATGAACGAATCAATCGCCTCCTGTGTTTACCACAACCTAACCTACGATAAGCTTAAATTTTTAATCCTTGCTAACCTTCCTCGAATTTTTCGGTAGAATACGATATCATCAATGCTTAATCGTAATCTTCCGTATGATAAGCAATCTTATTCGCTGGAAAAGGCTCAGACTGTAGAAATTGTCCAGTAGAAATTATTGCGTAATAATCACATTACAGGTCGATTATAGTATAGAGATTTCATAGTAGTACAACCGCACTTTCCCTATGGTGACATTTGCCTCCTTGCTTAATGAGAGGCTTACATCACTTCACAAGCAGAACCTCGAAAACTTCACCACAGCTTTCAATTCTTCGAGCTACTAGTGTTATTCTACCTTCATAGAGATTATATGGTAACGGCGTTTGTATCTTCGAGTCCCCCAGTCAAATCGGATTCTGACTCCTGAGCAATAGGAAAAGGCAAAAGTCAAATCCTCACTTGCCTGTGTTCATTTAAACTTCTAATATTACATTATCATTATGCGGGCTACATTCAACCCGTACGTTAATATGCGATAGGACAGACTCAAACAAGCGAGTTGACTGTTATCCTTCGGTTATTCTTCTGCTTCACAGGGGACAACAGACTAGCCTATCACTAGGGAACATGTTCATCAGAAGTTCAACTAGAAATCTTTCGTCGACAAATTGCAAAGTGGAGGATGGTATATGCAAAGCTGAGAGTTTCTGTGGATATCATATCCAAATGAGCACTCTTTGGTTCGGTGTCTGCGGACTCACTCCGGAAACAAAGCCTTCGTATGGAGGAGATATGCCCTTCAAGACGGTGGCAGGAAACTATATAAGAGCGACCTTGTCCCATCTAAAGCAAGCACAACAAACGCTTTCAATCATTCAATCATCTCTATTAGTTCGACAATTCCACATCATCTTTACACTTCTACTTTCACTTCTGCACCTCATACCACAATAACCAAAATCAACATGTTCGCCTCCATTCAGAAGCTCGCTACTTTGGCTCTCTTTTTCGGGCTCTCTATCGCTGCACCGGCGCCCGCCCCAGCTTCTGATGCTATACCCCAAGTTTCTACCGAAGCTTTGGTGGCCTTCGGCCTTACTGAGGACATGGTCACCGCCGCCAACATCACCAGCCGCGATATTCTCGAGGCTCGTACCGTCCTCGCAACCCGCGTTGCTTCGTGCACACCACCACATGCGCCCCACGACGCCACTTACGGCGCCTGTGTTCTTCCTTTAGTCGAGCCGGCCCGCCAGGGGAATACGATTTACATGCTAATTCTAGCAGAATACTTGAGCGGCAAAATGGCTTGCCCCACGGATGGTATTTGGGGCGGGGCTGCGCGTCCAGTCATCCAGATCACCGCTCATCGCTGTGGGGGTCCAGGCCCAGAGTATGTTGATCAGGGACCGCAAGGGTGGTCTATTGACAGTTCTTTCAACGAGAAACCTTGTCTTCCGGGTAACAAATGCTATTAGTGAGTTACTCGCGGAAACGTTGTTGATTTTGGAATGCAAAGCTAACAAATTATAAGGAACAAGCGCCTGTCTTAAGGAGGCACTGGGGTACTGAGCGCTCAAATGTATCTAATTTCCATATCCGTGTTTCGTTCATCTCTTTGGGATCACTCGCTACCCGATGACAAATTGTTTCTAATGTTTTTGGAAAAGCTACTGCAGGTAGTAGGATGGCTGTGTAATAGAGTGTTCTTTGACTTGGATTTGATTTGAATATTTTCATTTCCTGGTTCTTTTATAGATTTAAGGGGGGTTGATAAGATGAAATGCATACTTTGATTTGTCTTGAAACATACTTCGATTGAATCTAGTGAAATACTACTAATTAGGTTTAGCGTTGAACTATTCGGTGATCGATCGACTGATGTGCTACTAATTTTATGACTTGTAGGTATGTTTGAAGAGGGAAGAGGGAAAGTGGAGATCAGAGAGGGAAGGTAGATTGGATAAGTAGAAATAAAATGAGGAGGGAGGAAGGAGAGTTTGAATTTAATGAGGAGTAATACAGGGAAAGAGGGGTAATGTCAGATAAGCGAGCACTAAAGGAGGAGAAAGGAGGGGGCTAGGATAGATAAGTTGGTGGTAAAGGAGAAGGAGGGCGGGGTTAGGATAGATAAGTCGATACTAAAGGAGGAGAAAGGGGGATTTAGGTAAGGGGATGTCAGTGGAGGGGCATATTTGATAGGAAGCCATGAGAGATGATTACTGTCCCATTTCTAACACGTTCTAGTAGTATATAAAGGAGCCCTCTATCCCCTTTACCAACTCTTCTATAGTACTTTTGAATCCTTCATCTCCCACAATCATTGTCAAGTCCATTCGCAATTGTTAACTATCAGAACCAAGCCCACTTTCCCTAAGTCAATTCTGATAAAAATCCGCGGATGGTGAGGTGCCCGTGTGTTTACCCTTCAAGTTAACTTTTCTTCTACTTCTTGAAGGTTAGTTTTAGAATAATAATAAAAACTTAATTATATTTAAACCTTAAGGACAATTCGAGTATATAATAAGATAGTTGAATTGAAGTCAAATTATAAAAAGAAGCTGAATTGGATTGAATTTGCTTGCTTTTTCTAGACTTTTCTTGAAGAATATCCTAGGTTTATAAAATGAAATTCTAGTAGTTTCTATGCTTATGAATAAAATCGATTTAAAACGAATTCTATTAAATCATTTATGTTGTAAGACTAAAGTACAACTAGTCAATTTTATTCGTTTTATTAGTAATCTTTTGTATAATTCTATTTTATTTCATTTCATTATAAATCAATTCAATAAGAAATATGATAATATAATTTAATAATAAATAATTTATAAGATCATATTATAAAATCATCTTATATAAATATTAGTTATGAATATATCTATTGGTTTGAGAAGGATACGAAAGACGTAGTACCTACGATATTCGTAGGTTCTAAATGTCTAATTATATTCTGTCTAAAGAGCTAGCTATGTATAGGAAGTTTTAGACCTTATATAGACGCCACGAAAAGAGCTAGTATTTTCCACTTTCACTTAAGGCTTGAAATGTAGTAGCTAAGGAATTAAGGCTATTTTCTAGATCTTAGTAATGAGCATTCATATAATATTTATTTATTAATAAGATATTAATACGTGATTTAAGTTTATTTGTTATAGAATTTTAAAAAAAAATACATTATAATATAGCAATTACATTTGAAAGGTTATAGAAGCTTGTAAACTACTTAAGTCTATCTCGTAATGACTATATAAATAATGACTATAAAAGAGTTAAAGATAGTAGGATCATAGAATAGCCTACTAGTAGGTGTACGAACTTACGAGATAGCGTAATAGTAAAGTATAATTTCACATCTCAATTATTAACTTCGAAATTCAATAGAAATTTTAATTTTAATTGAATATTATTCAGATAAATATATTATATTTTTCAAATATGAAAAAATAATATTTGAAAGATTGATTCAAAAAACAAAGATTCGAGCTCAAAAATTCAATAATACATTTTCTCATTAAATATTTTAATTATAAATTATATATTCAATAAAAACCTAAAGTTTTTTTTTTTTTAATTTTTTCTAAAAAAAATTATATTTAAAAATAATATTTATCAATTTCGAAGAGAGTAAAGATAATTTTAATTTTAACTAAGTTATTAAAATCGCTTTTTTTAATAAGAAATTGTACTTTCTTCTTGAGTGTCTCGTGAGTCCGTACGCCTACTAGTGGCCTTCGTAAATATCATAAAGAAACTATTATAATAGTAGTATCGTCAATAAAGGGAAAAAAAAGAGAAACTCTAGAAAGCTTCTATATAAAATATAAGTTAGAGGGTATAATAGAATAAATAGAAACTAACTATCTTTTTCTATACTATATAATAAAGAATAATAAATACTAATTATAGGAAATGTAATATAATCTATAAATGTATTTCTGTAAATACTATAATAAGAAAAATTTAGATTTTGATTGAGTAAAATTATCATTTATAATCTCTTTAAGTTAACGATTAATAAACAAAAGTTTTCATTAATAAAAAATCATATTATAGTATAGTAACTACGTTTGAAAGGTTGTAGAAACTTAAGAACTGTCTAAAATTACTCTATAACTTTTATATGAACAACCGACTATAACGATTATAATTTAGATTTTGAGTTAATGAAATTAATATTTCACAATCCTATCATTCTAAAATCATCGTACATAAACATTCAACGAAAAGAACAAATTTACAATAGAGGAAACTTGTTTAAAAAGTTGTAAAGGCTTACGAGAATGAATTTATCTAAGACGAAAAATATAATACCCCCTTCTCGTACATACTAGTAATTGAAATTTAACAACAATAAGATAAACAACAACAGTTAACATCAAAATCTAGTCTTTACCATCAATACCTATTGATTTATTGAGAATATTAATCAATACCATACTTTTCGAAATAATGGAGACTTCTTAAGCTTTCGTTTCGTATCTCACAGCACTAGGCTTCCCTCATTTGTCGATAAAGCTCCTATTGAATCACCATATACAATTAGACTTATAACTTTTAACTTAATAGTTTGATTGTTTTATTAGTTTTCTATCGAATACATTCAGAAGCAATTATTCATAGAAACGTGAATACCAGCGCTGAACGAGTAGAAACTGAGTCAACGGTCCACGCTTCCTCGCATATAAAATTGTCATTTTTCATAAGAGTCCTTTAGTTGTCAACATTGCAATTATAATAATTTTTGTAATAATCAAATTATAACTAATTGTTCTCGGTAATTAGTAGATTGAGCTTTAATTGTATATATTTATCTATGTATTAAATCATATCAATAATATTATCGATACAACGGAGAAGAAAATAGACTAAGATTTACCCCGTACTATATATAATAGACTTTCAAATGCAAATATTAATACTAAACTCTTAATTATATTATTAAAGAGATTTAATATTTAGTCAAATTTTTATTAGAGATAATCAATTAGGGAATGATTTTGATTGATTTCCTCGAGCTAATTTTTGTAAACTTTTGATTAAATTCGATGATTCGAGTCTTCGATTTAAGTGTTACGGGAGCTGCCTCTAGGGTCACGTGGAAGTGTCTAGAGTTCTCTCGAGGTGGTTTAGACTAAACTTCAAGTAGGAATTCAATAAGGTTGGTAACTGGTTGCAATTCTCGTAACTATAGTAATGAAACTAATGATTGTTCTTGAGCACGAAGCTCTACATTGTAATGAAACCCATTCCCTTATATAGACCTTCGTACTTTGATCGAATCGTCAAGTCTACTCGACTACTCGAGTCGACAAGTCGAATCGACTTTCCTTCACGTGACACTTGTCCTCGTGACCTGGTAAGGCTACCGCTTATTTAACCTGTGCTTACTAGCTAATCTGTAACCGTTGTGCAACCTGTGCCTACTGTGGGGTAGGTGCCAATAAAAGATAGGTACCTATCTTTTAATCACTGCTTATTTATTCGGTTACCGCTATCTTTAGTTACCCTTTAATTCAACTGTCCCTACAGTGCTGTTTTCGTAGGTCCCAACACCAAGGCCTTAGGTTTATCTTATAATCCATGTTGCGGTGCGGGTACCTCCGTAACACTATCCCCTTCCTAGACTAGCGCTTGTCCCAAGCGTCTATATAGCGGGGTCTCCCCACCTAACTATACATTTTAAATGAGTGTTATTCTTTCTTCATTATGCCTCCTACACGAACAACCTCTATTCATGATCCCGCTTTTTTATCTAATCGTGTCGCCCGTTCTGGTAGCAAACGTGAACCTTGTGCTTTGTGCCTTCAAACTGGTCGTGATTGTTTCGTGGACGAGGATCTGTCGAAACGTTGTTCCGCGTGTATTCGTTTCAAGAAAGGTCGTTGTCATCCTGGGCCCGCAATGCCCTCTCAATATGATGCTCTGGAGCGACAGCAAGAGCAACTTCGCCTGGAGGAGGAGAAGGCTTTTGCTGAGTCGCAAGTTCTGTCTGCTAAATCTCAAGAATTGACGGCTCGCATTCTTCGTTTACGTCGTCAACAGGAATTCCTTCGCAAGCGTGAAAAAGAAATGATTCGCCGCGATCTTCGTACGCTGGAGGAACTTGACCTGGCTGAGGAGAATGAAAGGTTGGAGAAAGAGAAAGTCGAAAATGAAAAACTGGAAAAGGAAAAGGCAGGCGCGCCTGTTCCTAGCGGTTCTTCTTCCTTCGACTTCTTCGACCCTTCGTTGCCTCCGTTGTCTGACGCTGAGCTCGAGGCTTTGTTGGCAGATGTGGGTACTTCAGGTGGAATGCCTGTAGTTTCTCAGGGCAGCTGAGATCCTTCTTAAGTTCCCATGTGTTTTCTGAGTGTGGGTAATCCAACCATTTGATCAAATACTTGACCTTGCTTCTGACATATTTGCAATCTAGTATTGTTTCAACGTCGTATATGGCTTCTGGGTTAACTGGTTCGATTTCCGTAAATGGCGCATT